TTGCAGTGACATATTGCTATTCGACAACATCAGGTAGACGCACTGGTCCCAGCGTGTTGCTTTTAGATCCTTGCGCGTCAGCTCTTCCTATTTCGAGATGAAGTCGGCAACCAACCAAGCGTTCGCATCAACATTGCTTTTGCGCTGTGGACATTGGCTCTTTCTATTGAGACGCAGCTGTCCCAAGGGTGCATGTGATTTATGTGGATGTTTAGCGCAGCAAGCTGCGCCGAAGGCGTGCAATTTTTCAAGACCCTCTAACATCCGGCCCTTAACTATCATTCCCAATGGCAATATCTACCGGTAATCTCCCGAACATTATATCTCACCCTATAACCCTCAGGAGCTCGGGTAACACAGGCGATCTTAGGAAAGGGCAGATTTATTTACCTCCTGACCTTTGCCATGATGTCTTGCGATGGACACCCAGCCAAGAAGGTGCCTGTGCTGAAATGAGGGCGTCGACTTGTTGCGAGAGGGGCGCAAACCCAAACCTTGCCCCCAATCATACCTTGCGTGCCCTGCGGTCAGTATTAAAGGCTTCACCTAGGGTATGTTGCTAGCCTACCAGCTCCATCACCAGCCTCGACAATCTTTTAGGGTTTAGGGTGATGACTTTCAGTGGGCTTCGATGACTTTATGATTCGGGGCGGAGAATTCAGCATCTAGGGGTTGCGGTTGAATTCGTTTCCCATCATTTTCAAACTTGCTTCACAAGGGCTTGCCATGTGTGCAAGAAATCTGTCCTTGTTTTTGCAAAATCCTCACACCCGGTTTTAAGTGCTGCGCAGGTTCGTGTGGCAAGAATGAAAGGTCATGGGGAGTCTGATCACCTCAAACCCTTAAACTCTGAAACCCTAAAATCCTAAAACCCTAAAACTCTAAACCTGAATACCCTAAACCCTGAACCCTCTTCTTTGTGGCCCCAAACATTGCAACAGAAATGCTCGGTGCTCCTGAAGATTCCCTTACTCCCCTTGGGCTGCCCAGGCGCCGCGCGCTTGCTCTGCAGCAGCCAAGAATCGATGGCCAGCCCGGCTTCATTACCATTGCTGCGCTGGTGCCAGCGGGCATTGAATCTGTGAAATCTGCAGCCTTGTGTGATAGATTTGCGCCGAATAGCTTGCACCCAGATCCCATCTACATGTTGCCATGACAGGCGAATCTGTTTGACATCAACAACGTCCTGCCGACATCATCGTCAGGCGCCATTCTCGCCCTGCAAGAGCTTGCTGTGGGAGTCATGACACAATCACAAAGCGCTAGACAATATCCTGAAGTACTTGGTTCGCGTTTCTGCAGTTGTTCCCTTGGAACGCGCGTAAATTGGACTTGCTGCTTCTTTGAGTCAAGCTCGCCTTCCCATATGAACAAGTGGATTGCTGTAGCATTCATTGCGGTGATCATCCTTGAGTAGTGATGACGCAGTGAGGTGGAACGTCACATTTGCAATTTCCACAATTATACTTCCCACTTAAGTATAATCGTACTCGAAGCTGCCTTGACACCCTAGCCATGCCTCCTGTGGTCAACAAGAAGCTGGCTCGCACTATTGCTCTGGCATTTGCTGAGCAGGAGCATCTGAAGGAAGTAGCTCGATAAGAACAATCAGTGGGCATTGTCCATGGGGGGTGGGGATGTTTTTTTTCTCCTTGCAGTGAGTGTCAGACGGAGCATGTTCATGCCAAGCTTCCACGTCGGTGCTTACAGAATCCAGAGTGTTCCTTGAATCTCAGGTCGGCCTAAATTTCCTCTGCGATCACAGCGGAAAGCTGCACACGAAGAAGCCTTCTCTGAAAGATGTGAGATGCAATGGTGATGCTGTTCAGTTGCACCAGAACGGTTCTTGAAAAGATTGTGCTCTGGCAGAATCAGCTCAGGCTGTCTTTGCAGTTATTAAAGCAACCCGCGGCGATGGTCGCTTGAGTGCATATGTGCTGAGAGATGCGATCCTGGATTTCTATGTAACCAACGATTTGTTTCCTCCTGGTCTCTGTGCCGAAGCAGAATGTGTGCAAACCTGGGGACTGAAGTTTGGGGCTGCCCTTCGCAGATTGGTGCCTTGCCTGTGTTAAATCATTAGGCCATGAGATCTCTGCCTGAAGATTGCTGTTGCCCGCTCTGCCTGACGTCAGGTTGGCCGGATGAGGCGAATCATGAAGCGGGCTGAGACAAGCAAGGACCGTAAGTTGAACCCTCTCCGTTCGAGAATCCAGAAGTTGGGGATTCCACAGCTGGAGTCTTGTCCCAGTACGCGTGACGTCAGTAGACAGTAGAGTTAGTTAT